GTCTACTGTCATCATAGGTAGAAATTGATTTGCTCAGTGTTGTGTAAACTTTTAACTGGCCTGCCTTTTAAACTTTCTATACCTTCCACTTAGGGATAGGAAAGAAATTTGTCTGAGCAATTTCACACTTTAAAAAACAACAACAGGTGACCCCAAATGTGAATGTTTAAAAAAAAACCCAGTTATAATAAAATAAAATAAAATAAATAATAAATTTTTTATTTATATCCCGCTTTTTGTAAAAACAATCAAAGCGGCGTACAACAATTCAAAATAATACAAAACATATACAATATCCCTCTCCCCTTAAAAGAAAATTAAACAGTACTAAGATTAAAATAATAATAATAAAACTTTATTATAAAGTTATAAAATGAAAATTGATGCATGTGGAAACATACATGGAAATAGTTATGCCTTTTTCATGCAATCTTAAAAAACAAAAACAAAAAACCAACCCACAAAGTTCAGGAGAAATGTAAGTCTTGGCAAAACTGAAAACTGAAACAGATAAGCTTAATCACACGGCACTTCGAAGAACGGGAACGGAACGGAACGGAACGCAAGGGAATGGAACGGAGCAAAAATGCATTTTACTGCATGGGAGAACACCACTAATGCCGCTGGGAGTCCCCAATCTGTTCCCCAGCCATTCCTGGCAGCCGATTTTTGAAGGACTGTTCAAAATCGTCCTTCAAAAATCGGCTGCCAGGAACGGTTGGGGAACGGATCGGGGACTTCCAGCAACATCAGTGGCGTTCTCCCGTGCAGTAAAATGTGTTTTTGCTCCGTTCCGTTCCCTTGTGTTCCATTACGTTCCCGTTCCTTAAGTGCCATGCGATAAGCTTACAAAATGACAGATTCATCCATTCACCTCAACTGTCAAGCCAGCACCAAACATTTCTAGTGAGTATACAGACAGAGATGCTCAAAAGTAGCTCTGCAGATCCTGCTACTATAGGCAATATAGTACGCCTATAGTATTCTGCAGAGCATGTTGAAGACTATCCAAGTATATTTCTGTTCCCTTCTGCCTCCTCCAATCCCATTTCTACTGATCCTTTTGCTCAGCTACAATCCCTTTCCCTTGTTGACAGGGCACTGAATAACCCAACGATTGCTACAAACCAAAAATCCAATACTGTATCCCATCTATTCAGGTGATAGTTGTCTTGACATTGACCCAAATCATCAGTTTGGAACAGCTTCTTCCACGTGCTGAATCCTGTGAATGGTCCTGACTGCGTAGGATGGACTGTACCACCTCAGACTACAGCATCATACTTTTGGATGATTCTCTAGGGGTCAGCCCTAAAGATATGCAGAGTGAGGCAGCCAATTCAGAGGACACATGTAGGGGGTGACAAACAAGGGCAAGGAAGCTGTATGTGCCATATAGCCTGTGCTGCAACCATCAACCTGTCTGAAAACCAATGTCAGTGGCATCAATAGGGTTGGTGTCACCTGGTGCATCACTCAATGCAGTCACTCTCTCCATTGACTTCCTACCATACCATACCATACCATACCATACCATACCATATCCTTGGTAATTTTTTTGTACTGTCATAATTCCTCTATAGCACTGAATGTAATGGCAATAATTGTGAAATTGTTCAGTTCAGTTTATCTTCATTAACATCATAGACCAGCACAAATTGTGAAATAAATAACAGAAGCAATTAGGAAAATTAAAATCATACCCTTAAATTACAACATCATATGCACAGCCTGAATGTATTTACATGTACATAGTTTCAAGTGGTTAAAGTGACAATTTGGTGAGATGTGATGTTGTTAAAGAAAATTTGAAAAGAATAAAAAAAAATATTAAATTTAATTTTAAAAAATCTGGGGCCTCTCTTTTCTCTTCTCACCAAGCCTTGCCCCACTCATCTCATCTCTTCAGTGTTTTAAAGGGATGCAGGTGAACACCACAGCCCATTTCTGCCAAAAGGTAGAGGTTGAGAGGCAGGGTGACACCCCCGCTTAAGGTGTCACCTGGTGCAGCCTGCATCCCCTTAGTGATGCCCCTGCCTTCTGTCATATTACTAGTACTGGAAGTAATACAACTTGGCCCCCTTATCTGCAGGGGTTCCTGAGCTTTCCGTGTACATGCAAAACCTCGTATAACAGTGAACATTATTTTGTTTACCCGAAATGAACGTTTTGGGTTTCTAGCCCACGCATACCATAGAATTGCACCGGAGCACCTAGAAAAGTGTTTCTCTCTAGGCATCTGTAGGTCTTCTGGCATGATTCTATAGTATGCTTGGGCTGGAAGTTGACCATAGAATCATGCTCAAGGACCTAGAGATGCTGAGAGAGAACTTTCTCTTTTTTTTTTTGGACAGAGGGTAAGTGAAACTGCATATACCAGTCATGCCGATATGGGGATTGTCCTGTATTCGTTTTTCAGTTTCAATAAGTCTTTGTATGGGGTAGGAGCATTTTAGCCAGAAATAGCACAGCAAGGAAAGGGCAGAGTTTGAGCCTTTGCAACTAGCACAGAGTTTTTCTTAACCTAAAGGAGTAGGAGTAGGAGTGGTCCTGTCTAATAATAATAATAATAATAATAATAATAATAATAATAATAATAATAATATTTATTTATAGCCTGCCCAATCACAAGGAATCTGAGCGGGTTACAGCAATATAAAATACATAGAGTACAATAAAATTCAAAATTAAGTATAGCAGTATAATCCATGCCCATGTCTCAGGACCCCCCAAAAGCCTAACCCTGCTGCATATGTTGTGTTGATCAAACAGCTGAGCACTTTCCTGGAAGAGACTGATGAGTGTGATGCTTTTCTTTCTTTCTTTCTTTCTTTCTTTCTTTCTTTCTTTCTTTCTTTCTAGCAACAACTGGTCTTTCCCAGAATGTCTTTCCCACATATTGTATCTCACAATCCTTTCTATAAAAACTGTCTCCATTTGAAGTTGCCTGTTCTGATACAAAGAGTGTATGAATTTGATAATCTTTCTGTGAGTGTCTGCAATAAACTTTAGAGTCTAATGAATTCTTGCAATAAACTTGTCAGTGACCACATGTGTCAATATTAATTTGCTACTTAAATGCGTAGAGCTAATATCCATCTGAATCAGATCAGTTTCCTTTTTGAAGTGCAACTCCTGGAACCCACTATAGCCATTGGTTTAGATGGACACCACTGTTCATGCTGCTTGGCCCACTGGTTTCCACACCTATTGCTCTAGAGGAAAGTTGGCCTAATCCACCATGCTTCTTGTGTTCAATAAATACAATCCAAATTGTAATTGTGATCCAATGGCCTACACTGATCTCACACTGAAAATCCCTATCCCTGGCTTTCATGTGCACCCAGGAAGTGTTGTTTTGCTGCAAAATAGGAACTAGAAACATAGTCTAAACTGGGGGCCTGAGAACTTTTTCTTTTAAAAAATAAGAGTTTACTATTTAAGTCTGCTATGTGTGTAATGCAACACAGAATCTGACCTTCAGGAAGAGGTTTTTTCTATCACTTAGTATCCAAACTTTTGAAATATATATCTCAAGAAATGAACCCGAGACTTTCTGTGTGCAAAGCATGTTTTCTACCACTGCCCTAGAAATCTTTCTCTTTGAAAAGTTCTGAAAGAGCTCTGAAACCCTCCAGATTCCCAGATCAACCTTTTCTAGTAGAGCAAGGGAAAGAATGAATCACTTCTATAAGAGAAGCAATTTACATTTTAAGTAGATGCCTGCCCTGTTTAATAATAATATAAAAAGGCTCCAACAATATCCCTCTACACTCTACACTGGACAAACAAGTAAGTCTCAATAGAAGAGAATTAATGGACACTAATCTGGCATTAGAAATGGCAATACCCCAAAACAAGGTGCAGGACAGGTCACGGTACACAGTACACAAACAAGGAAATTACAAAGGAAGATTAGGAAAAGAAACTGCTGAATGGAATAATGTTCATAAATTCTAATCCATTAGCTCAGGTATGAACAAAGACAATGGCTTCATGGTGCACTTTATATATTATTACAGTTGGTCCTTCTTATCCATGGATTTTTT